CGTTCACACGGACAAATAGTCGCCGCAATATTCCTCCGGCCGTCAGCTATTCAAGTACAGCGCAAATAGCGCCCGGACAAATAGTGTCAATTACAATTCGTCCGAACGGCCGGACCAATATACACTCCCTATTTTTTTATTGCGTTTATACATTGTTTTTTACATTTTTGTTTTAGTCCTAATCCAATATTTAAGTGTACATTAGGGTGGGCCGAAAATCCGCTTTTTTAGAATTTCGTTTAGTAATAGCAAACATTTTGTTCATTATGTTGTAAAAAGATTTTGTGTAAAAGATTAAAATTTTCGATCAACATCCTAGGCTCGCCCAACGCAATTTAAGATCAAAATGTTTAAAAAAAATTTGATACTAAAATCGGGTTTATTTCTGAAACTATCCATATGAAGTAATTTTGTGTAAGGACCTCTTTTGTAGAGCATAAAATTTCCGATCGAAATAAGTTAAGAAATTTTTTTTTTTAACATTTTGATCTTTAATTGCGTTGGGCGAGCCTAGGATGTTGATCGAAAATTTTAATCTTCTGCACAAAATTTTTTTACAACATAATGAACAAATTTCTAAAACTATCCATCTGAAGTAATTTTGTGTAAGGACCTTTTTTGTAGAGCATAAAATTTCCGAAGAAATAAGTTAAGAAAAAATTTCTTTGAACATTTTGATCTTTAATTGCGTTGGGCGAGCCTAGGATGTTGATCAAAAATTTTAATCTTTTACACAAAATCTTTTTACAACATAATGAACAAAATTTTTGCTATTACTAAACGAAATTCTAAAAAAGCGGATTTTCGGCCCACCCTAGTGTACATATACCTCTAAATCTTTTTAATATGTAATTAGTTTTATCAATATACTGCAGTTTATTTGGAGCTCCATGCACATCGACAATGTACATTTATTTCAAGTGTTTTGGATCTTAAACGTAACTTCATGTTAATTTTTTTTGGTTTTTAAACAGTGATTCTTCTTCATATTGCTCAGAATAATCTGAATTTGCTTCTTCTATAACTTTCTTTTCTGCCTGTATTTCTTTATCAGGGCCTATATTAGTAATACAGTGGTCCAAATTACTGTATTTTTCTGTAACCAGCCTGTTCTTATAAACAAACCTTTTTTCTTAGTCCCTATACAGCAATAAGTTGACTAAAAGATGTCTAATAGTTGACATAATTTATTGAATGTCATCTTTCATCCTTAGCGTAAAGTTGCCTAAAAGATGACTAACAGACGTCTTATGTCCCGAAGTAAGTCGTCTTTAAGCTATGTCTTAAAGATGTCTTTTCGACATGTCTAAGAGACGACTTGTCGCCACCTAAAATATATCTTTACGACATGTCCGAATGATGAGTGTTCGTCACCTAAAAGACGTCTTTACGACATGTCCAAAAGATGTCTTTTCGGTATTCATAAAAGTCGACTTTTCGTCATCTTTAAAAGACGTATTTTTATGATCTTCATTGCCGATACTTTACCATTTAGTTAAGTTCTAGTTTGTTTATTTGGCGAATGATTTTCTTAGATACAAGGAAATTATCCACCAAATAAACTAACTAGAATCATTGTTTTTAGACTAAAAACAATGCTAGAACTTAACTAAATCGAAAAATCGGCCCTTAATGAGACAAATAAAAGTCATATTTATTATTATCTTTTATTTAACATAGTTTAAAAATAATCAAAATATATAAATAAAACATAAATTTATAATGTATAATGACTATTAGTTTTGATTGTTTTGATTACCTCACTGTTGAGGCTATGTATAGGTATATATATGTGTTCTTTTATGTCCAGTCAGACAAATTCTTATGTAACGAAATTCTCGGTAGCGAAGCTGCTCGAAACCCTTAACTTTAAGGCCATCGAGAACGGAATTTGTACCTACTCCATTAATAAAGGCCATAGCTTACCTTATTTTTATTCCAATCACAAAATTAGGTATACAAATAATACACTAACTCGTCCACAGAACACGTCTATGATATATATATACTTATACAAGTTTTTGTCTGCTAAAGTAGAAAAAAAATATACACAATAATAATACAAAACTAGAAGCCAAAGAACACCTTTGCTAGAAGCATAATTTTGTCACCCGGCGTTCTTTGGGCGGTGCAATGGGAAACTTGCGTTGCCAGCTTGTGCACAGATTATAGTCATCTGTATTCTAATAAAATAATTTTTATAAATTATATTCGAAAAAATCTTAGACGTTTATGGAAAAATGCTTAAATGATAATTTTATTTATTATAAAATATATTTTTTTTAATACTATTTATACGATTTTATTAAAAATATATTTATTTCCCCAAAACGAGCTCCTTCCAAAAACTATGGGTATATGGCGGCAACGTCGTAACAGTCAGCTGCTTATGTTGCTACCGGCCTATAACAAGTATTCCCGCCATACCGTATGGTTTAGACAATATTAATAGAGATGGCGCTAATGTTGATTATATACACCTTTGACAAGGAAAGAGAGGGACACGTAATACGCTATCTCCCCTTCGCTTGAAAATGTTCCCGATCCGCCATTTTAATGGTGGCAAACAAAGCATTAGTCACCGCGTGCTTTAAAAAAGTATATATAAATATATAATTAATGAGTTTGCAAATGGTGCCAAATTGAACAGCTACTCGCCGACTATTACGTCCCTCTCTTTCCTTGTCTGAGATATATGTGATTATCGCCGACGGTGGTCGAGTGGTTAGTGCATACTGACTACAAGCCGGAGGTCGTGGGTTCGAATCCCACCAGGGGTATGGCTGTTTATTTGTGTTTGTCCTATTGTGTATTAGTCCTTCGGAGGGAACTTTAAGCCCGCGGTCCGTTCCTACCCCTAACCCGCACAAGCCATTCAGTTGGCTTATGGGACTTCTTAAGAAGTAAGGGTGGAACTAAAAGAGCACTTTTGTATATGCCTCAGACTATAAAATATAAACATATATTAACATTAGGTACCATAGAAAAAGAATACTTCTCATACTGTATGAATGCATGACACAACCAACAATCGTTGTATAGTAATGGAAGTATGTGATTATATACCACGTCTTAAAGACGTCTTAAAGATGTCATTTATATCATATGGAATTTAGCAAGTCTATTGTACAGTCATCTTATAGACGACTTTTCATATGACATGTAAATATGCATTATAACAGACATCTTATAGACGACTTTTCATATGACATGTAAATATGCCTTATAACAGACATCTTATAGACGACTTTTCATATGACATGTAAATATGCCTTATAACAGACATCTTTAAGACATCTTTTCGTCATGACAAAGATTACTTAAATAAGTCATCTCTTAGACGAATTTTTGACATCTTTTCGTCATGACTAAAAGATGACTTAAATAAGTAATCTTTTAGACGACTTTTCGCTTTAGGTGCTGTATGGGTCCCTAGTAGCAATTTGGGAAAAGCCTTGTGCCAGCATGGGTCAAGATACTTGGGCCAGACTGTGGCCAAGTATACTTGCCGGAGAATCTTGTCCCATTCCATTGCTACTAGGGGTTTTTTCATGACAAATTCACGCTCATTATAATCATAATTATCATAATTAAAACACTGTTCATTTTGTTTTCTTGGGTTCTAAAGTAGAACTTTATACATAAATATACAAACATATATTTTAGAAAATTAGACGAAATTAGCTTGACATGACAGAAAAATATTCCGTCATGTCAAAGTACTGAGAAATTAACTGTAATTATTGATAGTGTCTAGTGCGCAGCCGGCGTCCCTTTTAAATTTTATTTTTACACCGCCGCACTGTAGTCGTATTTAGTTGGTGATAATTAATTTCCTATATGGTCTAGAATTACGTTTACCTATATTTTTGAAATAGGCCATGAAATCTTGATTTTTTATAGTAACCATGGTAATAAAAAAATAAACAAATATTATAGACGTACGGTACTGTCAAAGTAAAATCATTGTCGGAAATGTTTTAAATGTGAATATTTAAATTATTATATGAGTAGTTTTTTAAGTTCCAGTAATATATTACATTTGTGTTTTATTAATTTTATTCTAAAAATGGAAAGGGTGATCCATGGTAAGTTTTTTCAAGCAATTTGATTTGTGCATTTCTTATTTTGATAAAGACTGGCAAAAAAACTTAAGAATAGCATTTTATTTAACAAAATTTCAAAAATTTAAGATTTTGAGTCTAAAACAAAAAAGTTTTACGAAGTTTCATGTTCATTTTATTTTTTCTGAAAGGTTACTATATTTAATATCAATCTGAATAAAAAAAATTTCCATCGACTTCCATTTTGAGATAGACCGTATTTTTTTAGGAAATGATCATTTCCTATCTAGAGAGTTTTTTCAATGTAGAAAATATTTATTATGTGCTAGTACTGAATAAGGCTCTTTTGTTTGTTAAAACCAAAATTAAAATATTTCAGATAAAAGTGAAAAATATATTGCAAATAAAATCAAGCAATTTTCAACAAATTTGCTTTCGAGGTGGAAAAAATCTCCTCAAAATCTAAATCGCTTCTTAGATAAATATTCTTCATGGTTGGAAAAAGACTAGAAAATTTGACCGATATATCAAATTCGAGTGAGTTAAAATACAGAAAAGTTCGTCCGAAAAAGACATTTGCAAATAATAATTTAACCATGAAAAAAAGAAAAATTAGTCGTTTAATAAAATCTCAAACTCCAGAAGAAATTGCTTTGGCTACAGAGGTTAGTTACAGGACCTCAGGAAGGCGAAGTGTTGCGCAGTTAATAAATAAAATAACAAATAGTAGTCCCGAAACTTAAAAAAAAGTGAAAATGGCTCTTCAACCATCCGATGCGAGTAAGCTAATATCTTTGATGGTTGGTTTATAATTAACAAAGCATCAATACATTGCAATGCAAAAGGGTGCAAATAAAAGAAATGTCAATCTCTATCCCCCGTATTATTTGGTGCTTCAATCCAAAGTTAAGTGTTATCCCAATGAGGAAAATTCAGGTTAGGTTGCAAAAATTATTAGATCATACCAGCCAACGTTTGTTCGAAATTCAAAATGAAGTTTTGGTTCAAACCTTAGAACATAAACCTGCAACTTCTTCTTTATTACTACAATTGGAGTGTAAATGGGGCTTAGATGGTAGTAGCAGTCATTCAATGTACAAGCAAAAATTTTCCAGTGAAAATTTTAATACCAGTGATGCAGACATTCTTTTAAGTTTATTGGTACCTTTGCGACTGCACTTTAAAAATAAAGATAACGACCAAACCGTGGTCGTCTGGCAGAACCCGAGGTGCTCATCTACAAGATTTTGCAGGTCACATCGTTTTAAATTTTGCAGATACAGCCGATTTTTCTAGATCAGAAATTAAGTATATAGAAGCCCAGATAGAAACTCTATCACCAACAAAATTATTGACATCTTCTGGCCACCAAATCCTTGTAGAATATGTTTTACATAAAACGATAGTAGATATGAAAATTTGTAATTCATTAATGGGAAATTCTGCCTCTCAAGTATGTTATTTTTGTGGATCTAGTTCTAAAGGCATGAATAATTTAGAAAAGGTGTTTCAACGACCACTACAAAATTTTTCGAATGCATTCTGCATCTATCATATAGACTGGACATTAAAAAATGGCAAGTTCGGGGCTCAAATGAAGAAAAGGCAGCATTTGAAGAAAGGAAAAAATCTATCATATCGGCTCTCAAGTCGGAATTGGGCCTTTTGGTTAATGTTGTCAAGCAAGGCTATGGCAATACAAATGATAGAAACACCTTTCGCAGATTTTTCGAGGACAGCACAAAAGCAAGCGAAATCACTAGGGTTGATGAAACACGTATTCGTCGGTTCTCCGTTATTCTCCAAGCTTTATCAAGTGGTTATTATGTTGACGTTGATCAGTTTAGGAATTATACTCTAGAGACTGTAAAACTTTATGTAAGACTTTACCCTTAGTTTTATATGCCAGTTTCCATACACAAAGTACTCATTCATGGTGCAGATGTTATAGAATATTTTCTTTTACCCTTGGCCAGCTTTCCGAAGATGTTCAAGAAGATCTACACAAAGAATATAGGCATTATCGGGAATACAATACAAGAAAAATTTCAAGAATAAAAAGCAATGAAGATTTAATTCATATCTTTTTAGTTTCGTCAGATCCAGTCATCTCAAATATAAGAAAATTGCCTGTTAAAAAAGCAAGCACTTTTTCAACTGAGGTTTTAAATTTGTTGAGAAATCCTGAGCTCGAATAGATAAAATAAATAAAAAGATATTGTAGTTTTAAATAAATTAGTTCCTTAGATTTATATAGATTACTTATAATTCGTTATAATAATTAAGATATAATTTTTTGTAAAACCCTATATTATTTATAAATAAATTTTGTTAAATTCTATTTTAAAATTTATAATTAATTAAAATAAATTTTAATAAAAGAATAAAACATTTTAGGATTATATTTTTTAAAAATCTAGGTTGTTTATGGTTGTTCTGGTAGACTTTTTTGTTTTACCCTGTATAATATAAGAATGTTTTAGTGGTTATTTATATTGTAAACTATAAACAAGCCAATATTAAATAAAAATAACATAAGTCGTTTTTTCGCGTAAATACCATGAAATACTATGGTCATTAAACTTAACCTTGGTTAATAGTTAAGGCATTTTTGCGTTTAGAGTGCGTTCAAAAATCCTAACTATGACGTCACAAATACCAGACCATAAAACTATATCGCTGAGCTAGTTATTCAACGTGGTTAATAGTCTTTCTCTTTTTAATATATATTTTTCTGTTTCGATCTGTCAAAAAGTTGTTTACATTTGACGTCAAAAAGTAATTTAAAATATTTTAAGTAGGTACAATCAAAGATCTTTGGGTACAATTGCTCTTAAACCGAATTTAAACTCATAATTTCTCTAGGTTGAATTCGTATTTTGGCAATTTAATATGTTTATGTTACATTAAATTATGTAGGAATAATGTTGTGTGCTAAACATATCTTCTCCAAAACATACCGCCAACCTTCGTCTTTTTCTTTTTGGGGTTCCATTCTAAATTTTGAGTTTCAAAATAATAATTTTCGTATAAACGTTAAACACTGTTGGATTTTAGTTATGGTAAACAACAGGGAAGAACTGTTTATAAAAAGAGGTATAGAAAAAGTAGGTATAAGAACTAAGGTTCATACAAAAAGAATATACAAGGTATAAGAAGGGGCAAAGAAATTTATTTACACCTGTAAAAGCATAGAAAATACATATAAATAGGTAAAAACACATTTCAAAAATTATAGGTTATGAACAAGTAAACAAATGTCAAATGTTAGAAACCTAACCATGGTTATATGAATTAACTGTGACGTCATGACTTATTTAACCGTAGTATTACATAGTATTTACGCGAAAAAACGACTATACATTTATTATCCACATAATAATTTTGCTACTAATTTGTATTGCTAATTTTGACAAATTGACCACAGTGCGCCGCCGCCTATAGTTTCCTTAAGAAACTAGCGTTAAGCCTAAATTATAGATTGTCTAAGATGAAAATACAAAAACCGTAGTGCCGTTTATAGATTACCGTACGGGATTGTAATGTTCTTCTTCTACGGGAGGAAGAAAGGAAGGAAGGAAGGCAATCTATAAATCAGGATTAACGCTAGTTCCTTGAGGAAACTATAGGCGGCGGCGGTGCAAAAAAAAATTTAAAAGCGACGCCGGCGGCGCACTAGACACTATCAATAATTACGGTTAATTTTCTGCAGTGATACCAACTTAGCGACTAGCTTTATAGATTGCATTCCTTACGGGAATCTATAAGCGGCACTACGGTTTTCGTATTGTTCATCTTTTACGGGAGGAAGGAAGGAAGACAATCTATAAATCAGGCTTTACATTCCGATGGTACCATACAGGCAATCAGCCAGATTGGGCTATTTATAGCCAATTGGGCTATTTCTACTTCTTCTTTGGCTCTAAAAAATTCTAGACGCCTACAGGCTACTACTTTGAGCTACATTTTTAGCAAATGGACTACAATTGGTTTAAAGAATATAAAAATACCTTTCCCATTAATTGATTATGCACGAAATTTTATAGAGAGATTGGCATTAACTTTATGCACGCTTAGTGGCTACGAAAGAAGAAGAATCTAGCATTTTTTTTTAATTTTGTTTTCGTTTTTGTTTTCGAAGGTTATTAAAGTTATTTATCCAGGGCATGAAGCATACACGATAAGTTTGAAGCCTATTCCCTTTCGCTAAACATCCGTGTTCATGAACTACATTGTTTCGTAACATATGTATGTGCCTATTCCCTTTAAATTTTTTCTATAAACGCATGCGGTCAAAGAATTTCTTAAACATCCATGTTTATAAACATCATCGGTGTTTAAATGGCTATTCCGTTTCCAAAATTCGCTCTTTGGTGAAAATAAATGATGTTTGAAAACGTATGTTTACGAACGCTTGCCTAAGAGGTGCTGTTAGCCAATATTTGAGGTTTTTTTATCTTGCATTAATCATAAATTGCGGCGATGTTTAGTACAGTATACAGTACAGTATCATTATCAAGCATAGAATTAATTACTTTTTCATAATTAATACCTAATTAATTATAATTAGCTATTTTCGCGGAGCTAATCCCGAACTAATTCCGAACATCCTACTTCTTCTTCTTCTCAACTTGGCCTTCGCCAATATGGCCCTGGACAATAGTCGTTATTAGCCAGGTACTAGTATAACAACCGTGCCTATTTAAAATTTTAATCTACTAGTATATTTTTTCTTTCAAGTATTCAATTTGTCTTCTTTCGGTGCATATTTCAAGGTTAAACGAACACAACAAAGGTTAAGGAAACAAAAATCTGGAAAAAGGAGTACTACATATCATAGTGTTGTCAGGTATTTTGAATAATAAGACCGGTAAACTGTTTTTAATTTATTTTAAATTAAAAGAACACCAAGCTTATGTCACATCAAAAACGCTCTCCTCTTCTTCTTCTTCGTCAGGACAGCAGCTCCCACATTTACCATCTTAGTGTAGTGGCGCCCTCCAGTGGCCACCTAACCTAGTACGGCTTTTTAAATTTACGTCTAACATTTCGGCCATCCTGCAAAATAATAATGTCCTCATTATACCACCACCTATGTTACCTAAATATATGTAGAAGTCTCCCATTTTAAGTGCTACTAGGCTCCGTAAGATTTACTGTTAGTGCTCCAATTGTCACTCCTATTTTGGTCTCAAGACAATTTCTTCTACTCAATTGTCAATGACCAATTTAATTCCTGCGAGTACCTCTCCAGCTATAATCTCTTTTTGTTTTCTTGCTGAAAGGGAAAGAAAGTTTATTAGTAATACACAAACCATTTTTTTTTTGTTACTGAAAAAGAAAGAAAGTTTATTAGTAATACAAAATCATTACATACAACATTCTCACATTCTTTCAAGGGGGCCCCACATTCACTCAGACTCGCTCTCACAATCACTCATTACATCATTAACCTTTTGTAGCCTCTTACTCCTTTTATGGCTTCAATGACATATCGGTCATTGCTGTTTACCTTGCACACCCTAAAAGGTCCATCATATTTATTTGCAAGCTTGCGATTTAGGCCCTTTGGAAATTTATTCGTAGCTCCATGCCTCCATAACACCAAATCACCAATTTTGTATTTAGTAGCTACTTTTCGTCGTTTGTCATAAGCAGTTTTCATCTTATGAGCAGCATTTTGTATATTTTCTGCAGCCAATGTTAATTTCGTGTTAGTTGTCGCAAATCTACAGCTTGTGCAAGATCGTCATCTCGCTTTTGGGTGTTAGTTGATTTGCCTCCTATAGTCTCCTTGCTACCTCCAGCACTCGACAGGCTTTCCTCTCCAGCATCTCCAGATTTTCTTGTGGTCGCTGCAGTTTTACCACCTTCCTTTGCCTGTTCTCCTTCTCCAACATTAGCGCCCTCTTCAGTCTCCAATTCAACAACTAAACCGCGACTTTCTCCATGTGCAAACATTAATTCACTAGGTGCAAGTTTCGTACTCCTGTTTATTGTATTGTTTAATCCCCATACAATCTCTGGTAGTTTTTCGTCCCACCTAGCTTCACTAGAGGCACTTGCTCCGATCGCCTGTATTAAACTCCTATTTACTCTCTCCACTTGCCCATTTGCCCGAGGAGTTGCAATAGCATTTAAAACGTGTCGCACAAATTTTTCCTCCAGGAATGCTTTAAATTGTTTGCTAGTAAAAGCCAAACCTCGGTCACTAATAACTCTCCTGGGGTATATAAATTCACCAAATATCTCCATCAGTTTCTCAATGGTCTCATTTGAATTGACTGTTCTAGTTGGCTTTGCGATGACAAATTTCGAGAATCCGTCCACCAACACTAACAAGTAGAAATTTCTCCAAGTGCTCTTCATGACTGGGCCCAAATGATCGATATACACAGTTTCAAAAGGCACTGGCCTCCTGTCTATTGGATGCAAATATCATTCTCCTTTTATATATCTCCTACAAGAACCTTGGTCATACAAGGGTCGCGTAAGGTGCCTAGGTAGATGGGAAAGATCTCTCTTCTACAAGAGGGACGACCAACTAAATCCAAGGGCTTATATCTACGTCGACAGACGGATCGAGTCCTTACTAATAGCTAATTTCTGTTCTAGGGACTTAGTAGCGGTGAAACTATGCCTTAAGGACAGACCAGGACATAGCACATCCTTGGTGGTATGCTCGGCCTATCTGCCCTATGACTCGATAGACGATCCTCCAACACAGTAGCTCATCGATATAGTGGAATAGTGCAGCACATTGGGCCTCCCGCTGATCATCGGTGTGGGGAAGCACCGACACGAATCGGAGAGGGCTTCCTCTTAGAGTATCTTGTGGCGTATTTTTTTTTCTACTTATTTTGCTGACGGCAGCTTTACTGTTTATGTTGCGGAGA